AGCTCTGAAAAATGCAATATATACAGCTAATTATATTTATTAAGGAAACAATTTTTTGTGTTTATATTTTCAATAATACTTTTAACAATTATTTCAATCTCTACTTCAGAATATCTTTCCCTTGGGTAACTGAAGGAAAAAGGGATAAAGGAATGAAGACTAAAAAATGTATGACCTCATGATATCTTTATTTGTGACAGTAGAAAGGATGATATACAACATACAACACAATGAAAAAATAGATAAAAAATATACATAACCAAAAAGTAATCTTTGTCTAATCTTCCATTCAATGTCCACTGCTCACATAAGTATTTCCACTAACTTTAAGAATTGAAATAAATAGAACTACCTTATGTAAGAGCTAGGGAAATGAGTCCTCAGTGCCAAGGTGTTTCTATAAACTAAATCATTATGAAACATAGTTTTCCCACTTCTTGATAGTTTGTCCAGGAACCCACTGGAAATCAGAATCATTCAATAGCTAGGATTGCTGCAGCCTCAAAAGCAAACAAAAAACCATCTTGAGTGAATAAGCACATATATGAAAAATAAGGAAGTGATTTTAAGCCTGAAAGATTCTGAATTCCTTTGCATGTACGTTTCAAGGGGGAGGGGAAGGGAGGGAAAAGGAAAGAAAAAGAAAAGGAAAAAGAAAAGAGAAAGCTCAGTGGAAGCATAATTTTCAAGCTGAACATTTCATTCCATTTTATTTTACCTGACGTGAGTACATAATGATGTTAACTCAGGCCTGATCACATAGCGTGGGTGAATGGGGGAGGTTTGAAGAGATCAAAAATCTTCAGTGAAGCTTAAGAAGCTACAAAACCTTACAATGCTGCCACCTATAGATCAAAAGTGACAACACCAGCTCGCAAGAATCGTACGGTGTGGCACACATAACAGGAAAAAATAATAAATAAATAAAGGGAGCAGGAATGTATGAACAGTTTCAGACTCCTTCATATGGTTGATTCACCCGGTGGACTGATGGAGCAGTTACTTTGGTTTATCTAGCCCAATGCTTTATATAATTTAATTAGGATCATCACATAGCAACCTAACCTGTCTACAGAAATTACAAGCTGAAAGTCCAGACCCCATATGTACCCTTTTGCTCAATTAAAGCTAAGCAGTGTTTTTATAGAAAGATTTTTTTTTTTTCCATTAAAATGCACATGAAGAGCAATGGATCACGATAGGCCTTTTTTTTTCCCCTCACAGTAAGGTACAATTATGTAAAGGCAGTAACACTGAAAATGCTTACTGAAATAAAAAAATTTACACTGCTGCTGCAGATATTTAAACCTATCATTTTTAAGGTATTGGCACCATCTTCTTATGCTATGGGAGAAACATGGGTGATTAGGCCTAATATTTTCAAATATCTTCATGACACACTCCTTACATTACTACTCAGTACTAAAACATAATTAATAGTCTAGAAAATTAATTTCTAAAATCTATTTGGAAATAAGCATATGTATTTACACCTACAATTGGCCTTGGCATTTACTTTTAAGCATTATATATTTTTATATAATTTATTAGTGTAACTATTCTATTTTCATTCCTGGTGAGCTTTCTCCCTCCTCATTTCCACAATCCTGACTAAGAAGTTAATTCACTCAGCTGGAAGAAAGTAGTTTATTAATTGTTTTGCATTTGTTCTCTTATTAAAAACAAAACAAAGCAAACACATGGATAAAAAGCAACAACAAACCAAAACTAAAAGATTCCTCACCTAATCTACCAATCAACTTTGTGGCTGCAGTGTAAAGACGAGAACTGAGAGAAGTCTGAGATGAAACCTTAGGTAGACCATAGCAGGCGTATTAAGATCCTGTGGTTTTCTTCATATTTTCCTCTCTCTGTCATGCCCTCAAGTCAATGTTTTCTTTCTATTTGTAAATCTCAAACATGAATCTGTGATGTAGCCAGTTCTAGAGTTTCCTAAAATTTCCTTCCTTCCTAAGGACTAATTTCTACCTCAGCATAAAATTTACAGTGCTTGGGAAAATGCTAATTAAAAAATTTTTTGCTCTCACTTATTTTCACAAAGCCCTAATACCAAAGCAAAGGATCTGATACATCTAACAGAATAAAATAGATATTTGTAGGCAATGTGGTCTGGAGGAACAGTCCCACAAGGTGAGCAGAAAGCATTTAAGAAAGCTAGAATATGAAGCACTTAGGAAATCTAAAAGATATTCTTTTTTTTTTTTTTTGTGGAAGTAATGGAAAGGTTATTTTAAAATATATTCATTAGTATATTATTTATTATGCACATGCATAAATGTGAAAAGAATTATCCTATTAAAATCAATAGGAATACTGTGATTAAAATTTCATTTATGTGAAATAGGGCCTTACATTCTACATATACTTCCATTCAATATGTGCATATTGTGAATATTAAATTATGTTAAATTACTCCCTTTTTCTTAATAGAATTAGCTTTATAGTTAGAACGTTCAAGCACTAAGCAGCACATATTATGATGGCAGTTTCCTATCATTCAGTAATTTTCTCCCATTTAATGTTCTTGAATTTTACCTCTCACAAATAGGTGAAATGATTCTGTCTTTGAAAAGTGATTTGACGTATTCCATAAGACCCTAAATCTAGTCAATAAGAGTGTAATCTTCCATGTATTATTTTCCTTATGTTCCATGAGTTTGTTTAGACAAAAAACAGCTGAAAAACTTTTTATTGGTATTTTTTATTTCTTTTCAGGAAAATAGTGAAAGTGGAGAAATTAGTTAATCCTAAATTTGCCTCTGAGAATAAGTAGGGCCATCATCTCCACCATTATCATCATCAGATGTGATGCCATGACAATGGAGTGTACAATTGGAATTAGTACAAGGAATCCTCCCTTCCCAGTAGATACTAGATGTTCTGTTTTTTGTTGGTTCTTGGTTTTTTGTTTGTTTGTTTTTCTTTTTTTTTTTCCCCTGGGATTAAAGAGAATTGACAATAAAATGGAGTATGGAGATATTTGTTACATTCTTCTCAGATTCCAAGTGAGCAGCATCTCTTTAAATATTTTATGAAGTTGAAAGTCCGTAAACATAGCAGAAGAATGAAATAAATGCATGAATGATAATTGAGTGATCAGATTTCTGAATATAAACACAATTTACTCCTGTTAGATTTTAATACCTTTACCCAGGCAAAGAAAAGGAGCCCAGAGCCAGCTCCAGCATAGCATTTGTTTAGGAAGTATGTGCTGGAGAAGACAGTGAGCCCGGGAAGACCAAGGCAGGGTCTTTGCACTGGAGAGGGCAAGATCTGTGTGCAGTGTTCCAGGAGCACAGATTCCTATGGATGTCCCATATGTAATTAAAACAACAACAACAAAAACTGTTTCCCATGGTATGGTTAGGAATTTCAACCTTTAGAAAGACAATACACAAAGGTGAAATTACTGCACTCCTACCACCTAAGGGTTAGTACAGTATTTCTGTGACTCAGAAATACATATTATCTGTAAACAGTCAATTTGGAAAGACACATGCTTTACAAAAAGGAATAAAGATCAGGCATATAATCTATGATTCTACTAGTTATGAATTTATCTGATGACTCACAGGAATGTCACAGTAAATCAGTGATCCAAGGAGAATAATAGATTCATAAACATTAAACACAGGAATGTCCAGTTTGTAATGACCATTTCTTTGCAATGCATGATTATACTCTGCACATAGTAGACAACCTATTATCTTGCCCAACATTATTTTAAGTCCCTCGCAAAAACATCAGCACTAATGGATCTTAGACCTGAAGTAAATCAACATAACTTACCATATAATAATTCTGTAATTATCATCCTTACCAGAAAAGATGACTTTGTTAGGCTCCATAAATCTATCAGATAGAAGTTATATCAGTTATACTAAGCTAAAAATTGACCTTAACTAAAATTATACTGTAGTTATTAAATGCTGAATACTGATTCGGAAATACTGGAAGAATGAATTCTTCTTGCATTTTGACTTGTTTGTAAAATTAAAAACTCCCTTAAAAGCATTTTAGATTTGGCTGTAACAAGAGCATTGATGTAAATACAAGAGGACATCCCTAAGGGGAATTGCAATTTTAAAAGATATATATACCCACATTTACTACAACAAATGTTATGCCAAGAAATTTTATAGCTAACAAAAAAAAAAAAAAAAAAAAAAAACAAAACATAGAAAATACTATACCTAAAGCTAGAAAATAGTTCCAGAACAAAGCATGACTAACATATAGCCTCCCAAATACACAGTATATCCCTAGTAAAGTTGTAAATTATGGTTGCAAATGAGGCCACAAACAAAATCTTGCTCAAGGCATGAATCATAAATTCAAACAATAATCATCTCCTGCATGAGGCACAACTACTTTGTTTATTTCTTATACCCTGTTTCCTAAACATGAGGATGAAAGTAGGTCAAGTAAATTTAGCATCTTTTCACATGAAGTATGTTATGATAGCGGGTGGCGCAGCTTAATTTACAATTACATGAGTTTACATGAATATTAAAATATCTGTTTTCACTGTGCTGTGTCATTACACATATTGACATTTTACCTCACATGACACAGAATCATAGAAAACACCCAAAGTTCAGAGAAAGGAGGGAGCAGAAGGGGAGAGAAATATTTACAGTGATTGCAACCTGAATGAAACTTTGATATGTTAGGAAAGAGCTTCATATGATGATGAATAATATTTTTAATATATGTTCTTACTTTTTTTTTCATGGGTTTTGTTTAGAAAGTGACTTGCAAGGGAAGGAGACCTGGGAAACCTCTGTTGTTTGTTTGTTTGTTTTTTTCCCAAAATGTGTCAGATTGATGGTAAATGTTTTCAAGGAAATAGCTTGTCTGAGTGTATGGGAACTGTTGAGTCACAGCCTGAACCACTGATTGAGCACCTGGGAAAGGACCAGGTCAGCCCTGGGAACACAGGTGAAGGCAATTCACATGTGTGATCAGAAAGAGTGGAGCCTGGCTGCACTTCTCTTAGGCCCCATTTAAGGGCTGACTGCCAGTAGGGAAGGATCTCTTCCTCTGTGAACCTGGAATCTTCTGATACAGGTGAGCAATCTTATTCCTTTATAGCACCTTTCTATCATACCAGTTCTTCTGTTGTTGTACCTCTGGTGAAACACCTCTTCCCATTGTATTGATCTAATTGCTACACTGAGAAGCATCCAAAATTTATCTGTTGTTCTCAACATTGGGTTCAAATGCAAAAGAAAAGACTGGAACCAGTAATGTTGTCGTTCATCATTTTGTTATGATTCGTGAAGGTTTTAAATATTATTCACTTAAGAAACATCCTTGAAATAAATGAAGTAATATCCTTTTTAATATTATTTCTTTTTATGGAGAGTAGAAGAATTTTAATGTGAGTATTTTTCCAAAAGATTGGCTAATAGTTAAACATTGTTAATAGAGCAAACAGAATGAAAGTCCTTATGCGTTGAAGATGAATATGTTGTTAAGTGATCATTAAGACCTGAATCTGGTTTGATTTATTAACATTAAACCATTCCATTTTCTCTATTTGTTTGCCCAATATTTAGAAGAGCAATATTTGGTTAAAATTGAAGTTTCTTTCCCAAGAATTATGGGTATCTATATGTCCATGTGGATGAATACATGTACCAAATTTATACAATAGAACAGGAGAATGGGAAAACTCCATGTATTAAGTAGTGCCATCTGTAAAAATCAATGTGTTGTATCATTTACTTGCAGAAAGTATCTTTGCAGGGTTCTATCATACATTTAAGCCATCAAAATTTGGTAGAATTTGAAGAAATAAAATGGATTTCCTCTTTAAGCTACAGAGCTTAAAGCTGCAACTCAAAAAGCTAGTTTGAAATCAGCTCATGGCCAGGCACTAAGTCACATGTTTGAGACAAACATGATTAAAAGCCTTACTGAAGCATATTCTGGATGATGGTGGAACTTAGCATGTCATCACTTCTCAAGAGATTACAAAATTACTTTAAATCTGAGACTTTAGATCCAGTTTATTTAGAGTTAATTGCACTTAAATTAATACAGACTTGACAGTCAATAGTGACTGAGATAATTTAGTGTCACTAATTAAAGAAGCCGAAGGTGTGAACGTCAAGAACAGAAGGCAGAGCACTTAGTGTGAGAAGAGAGAAGTTATCCAGTTCTTTAGTCCAACATCATGCATAACCTGCATAAGTTATGATGTTAGAAGCCAACAGTTTATGGGCTGGTTCAGCCCGGTTCTGTGACTAGCGGGGTGGAAGGATTTCACAAATTCCGTGTCTCTGGAAAAGGGAAACAGGGAACCCCAGAATAATTAAAAACAGCAGCAATGATCTAAGGAGAAACAAATTTACTAAATATAGTATTGGATATGCAAGATAACACACCATAATACAATATAATTAGAATTGGAGCCAATAAATCAAATATAATGAGAGTGTCCGAAAGGTGGATAGGCCACACCATAATGCTGAGGTGAGATGCGCAATCCGGTTGAGCAGAAGGGAGGAGAGCCTGACAAAGAAGAGCACATCAGGTGACCTTGCCAGAGGTTCTATCTCCTCTCTGACTGCAAAGCCCCCTGGGGAATGTAATTTTTGTTCTCTTTGGGACAGCTGCCCAGAACTGGATCATTAACAGTTAAACTCCTAGTGCACTACATTGTTATGATGTGGAATACAGACAACCAAGAATCATACAACCATGACATTAGAAATTGCACTTGTATTGCATGGTGAATAACAAGACTAAAAGAAATGTGATTTCTTTCTGTGGAAAAAAAATCTCTTGTGTTCATAATTAAGTATAAGCAACTTTTGAAAAGCTACCAACAATTACTCAGCCCAGGCACAGTAAGTAAAAGTCAAACAACAAAAAGTAAGGTAGAGATAGAATGTGAAAGAATTTAAAATTTTAAAGAACTAAAACTTCTTTGTAATGAGATGTGAAACAAACAGAGTACTCACACCAGAAATTAATTAAAAAGGAAATGATTTTGAAAAAATATGAATCAGGATAAAAATTATGGACACTACTATTTGTATGTAATAGACTCAAAGAAAGCAGAATAATATTTGACACAATCTGCTATTAAAATACAAGGAGAATATTAGGATGAATAGTTTCAGGATGTTCAGGCTCCTGTCTTCAAAAACTCCTCAGGCACATGCTACTTTACTTATGAATGGATGCTGTACTCAAAGTTTTGCAATTAACCACAGCAAGGACTACATTTCCACTGTTTAACAGAAGTTCAACTGACTGAAAGTTCATCCATGTTTATGAAGCTGTGCAAACGTGGAATCTGCATATAGCTCTTGCATTGATAAAAATGTATAGCATGAATATGCTTTCAAGATGGAAGTGAAGAAAATCTGAGACAGAGACAATGTATAGAGACAACATATTTCCGACTCTTAGCTGTATACTGACTGCAAACTAGACATAAAAGTCCAGCTCCAATTTCTCTGTACAAATTAATACTTCGTGTCTGTCTTTCTTCATCACAATCAATGTGGCATAATAACCAATTTTTGCTATTATTGACAGACTAGGGTTCCAAAAAATGTATCTATTTTTCCAAGAAAGAACTTTTTAATGTAATATTTACTTTATGTTCAGTAGATGTTAAGGAAGTGCTCATTAGCTTACATCTGGAAAAAATCCTTGTAACAAGTAAGAATGCAAATCTATACATGGAAGCTAAAGTCAATAAGGATTCTAATGATTACTTCTATGGAAAATGCATTAGATGTTTATCTTCATAGAAGTTTCTTTTTGACCAGGTAGTGGCAGCTTCCTGAACTAAAAAAATCTGCCTGTCAAATTGTGCTAGGCTTCTGAGACAATTTGTATGAAGAGGTATCCCATTTTAAATAGGTTTCCTTATGATTTATAATAGTATTTGAATATACTAAAGCAATCTAAGAATCTTGAAATTTAGAATTAAATGCTTTCTCATAATCTGAAAATTTGATGTAAAGAATGTTCTAGGCTCAGTTATAAACCACTGATAACAGGGAATTCTAGTATGAGCTCCTTCCTTTCCTTTTGCAATTATTTGTGGCAATTCCAACAGCTGCTTACTTGAAAAAATTCACCATTACAATAATGAATAATGTATTCTAGATTTTTATTTTAAGAAAGCAGCAGAAACAAGGAGACACATCAACGCAAATCAATTAGCCTCTGCCTTTTTAATGATAGTTGAAAAATCACAATTTGAAACACATAAATACTAGTGATTTAAAAACAAAAATAAAAAACAAAACACAACATCAGAACATGTACTGCACTGGCAGACCTAATCACCTAATCATACTTGATAAGTTGAGCAATTACACTATTATACAGTTGTTAAAATACTAGGACATAATTGTTCAACAGTTGCTTATTATCCCAAGTTACTTACTATTGACTGTAAGGCATTTTTACAAATTACAGCATAGAGTTAGTTTAGTTAATTTCCAATGTATCATTTTATTTTACTCCCACAATAACTTATTTTGTACCACAGCTAGATAATTTTTGGTAAAAACTCTTGTGGCTGTTCAGAAAGACAAAAGAATTGTGAAATGTGAATGCAATTTTAATGTTACTGGTACTTTCTCACAAGCTACTGACTAAGGTACTTCAGCCTCATTTCTGGAAAGCTTTTAAAAATGATCAGCTTTCAATTGCAATATAGAAAAGTGGCTTTGCATTGTTGAAAGCTTTCACTTTGTATCTGCACAGTGAGCTTTATATGTCTAATTTCTACTTCAAGTATTTTTTAGATTCACAAATGTCTGTACTCAGAAGACAGCACACTAAAATGCAGAAGTTAGAAGCTGGAATAACAAATATTCACATCTCCTCCTATAGAATATCCTAGCAGTGGATTTTATGCTCAGAAAGCATTTGCCTGTCTACAATGAAGTTTGTATTTTTAGTAATAGAAAGATAATAAGGCTTAGGTTATATGTGCTCTTCCAGGCAGTCTCACAATATTAAACTGAAAGTAATCATTCTAAATACTCTGACAACCAAATTCCTGTTGAGCTTTTTGCATTCAACAGGACACTCAAGACTACAGCTACCCCCTGCACTGTTCAGTATTTTGGTAGATTTATAACTTGCTGCAAGAAATGTACTAGTATGGGCTAAATTGCAACCAGTTATAGGGTAAGCTCATTCAGAGAGAAGCACTGTGTTTCTGCAGTCAGCTTGCAGGTAGCTAGTGAGATTGATACCAGCCCTGGATAAGTTTGTAAGAGGGACCTTCCCCCACCAGTATAAATTCTTACTCATTTAATAAGCTTTCTTACTCACTTAATTCGCAAAAGAAGAATAATCTAGCTCTGGGCTGTTAAAACAAATTTCAAGAAAACATTTTTCCTGGCAGCAAATATAGTGTAGTAAGAATTAGGCCCCTAGAACAGTGTCTACAGTGTCTATTATAGAGAATGTTTCATTATATGTATATGAAATTTAACAAATAAATGCTGTATGTTTTTTTTACCAAGCAGGCAAATATTCTCATATAATAAAATATATTAAAAAATCGACAACAAAAAGCCCACTTTCCTTACATATTCTGCTTACGGATCTTAAAATCCTTGCAAATTCATTCCATGTAAATTTATCTCTGAGCATGCATTCACCACTGTTATTTTAGGAGAAATTTCCTTAAAGTTCTTACTGGCAAAAAATTATAAATTGTGAATTTTGAAGTTCCCATAAGTGGTTTGTACTGTCTTCTCAGTATTTTTTTTTTTTCTTCCCCGTAAAGACCAGCACACCTGCATGTATTTTGTTTTAAAGGCCAGGGACAAAATGTTCTTTCATACATACATGTAATTGGCAAACAAATGAAAAATTCCCAAGCAAATGGGGTATACTACTTTCTTTATTTCCATGTAAAGGTTTTATTGTTTGTTTGTTTGTTTTTAAACCAGAAGAACATCTATTTTAAGAATATGCTTAATCTTCCTACTTTTCTTATAATCAAAGCACACAACAGCACCACAGTTCTTTGTAGTCAAACAGAAGGATCAGGTAGGAATGATTTTCTGTTCTGACGTTCC